ACACACACACACACACACACACACACACACACACACACACACGGAAGAGGCAAGACCTCTCCTTGTTTGCAATTTGAGTAGCTGCTTCCTATTCCCTCCTTTCTGCCCCCACCATATTTACTCATGGCCCCAAGGACAAGACTTCCCATGACATACACACCAGTTGACAGTGCAATAATATTGCACCTGGCTCTGAACATCCTCCTCCACCCACCCATAAATAACACATCTTACTTTTACAGCACCTGATACACTTCAACCTGTGATACACTTAATCCTAAATACACCCAAACCCAGGATACACATACAGCTTATGTCAGACCCTGGCTTCCATGCACAGTGGAACCTACGATATGCATGCATCCTGACCCTAATACACACACCAAAACTGCGTTATCCTCCCCTGAGCCGGTGACAGACTATCACATACACAACCTGATCACTTGTTATACAGCAACTTACCCCATAAACCACCTTCCCGGAAACCTACACACTAATTCCCATCACACCCTGGCCATATTATATACCCCAGCCTTCCCAAACATTATAAAAAAATATGACATTCAGTCAGACCCTGCAACATACTGCCTACCACCAGGACTTAGGACATTCCGACTGACTTCCAAATTTATAGCGCAAGTCTGGGATAAGCACACTCCTTCCCCACTGACAGGACAACTCTTTGTTTCATACATTTAAACTTTCCTAAGTGCATTTACATGCAGTATCTTAAGAGGTCCTTACAGCACACAGGGCCAAAGATTATCCCAACATGAACAGATCACAGTGAGACAGAAGGGCCTGAAGCTGGAACCCTGGGTTTCCAACCCCACTCCATGTAAGCACAGGCCTGGGGCACTGCAACCATTCCTACTCCCTTCCCACTCCAAGGGATGGCCACTGCAGGCCTCAAATGACTGTCCACATGTTGGGGGGCAGGGGGAGTTATGGGTGTGTGCTCTGGTTTCTGCCCCCAGCCCAGAGGCTCAGAACCCCCACCCAGCCTGTCTCCTCAAATTTAGAGGAGAAGGACTCCTAAGACTGGCATATCATTCAAAACAGGTCCCCTCCTCATTCCCCTCCTCTCTAGGAAGTCTGGTCCTCTCTCACTCAGTTCTGACCCAATTCCTAGCTGCACGGGAGCAGAGGAGGTCCAGCTAAAGAGAATGAGTTTAAGTTCGGAGGCCCTAAAATTGGGAGGCGGGGCAGGGAGAAAGCTGGGAGCAACAAGGAATGACAAAGGTGATGAGAGAGAAGAGAGAGAGCACCCCTCAAGGTAGGGAATCGAAGGGTAGCAGCAGCCTGCCCCAGTCCACAGGATGAGGTACCAGCACTGCCCCCTGCCTGGGCCCCTGGGGCTCCCTGACCTAGGCCTCAGTGTGCCTGCCCCCCTTCCTTTGTCTGTGCCCGGCCTCCCGTTGGCCTGGCGCTCTGCCATCCTCTCCTGGCTCCGAGCCGCCACCACTGCTGCCTCCTCCCCTCCCCCTACTCCTCCCTGCCTTAACCCTTCTGAGCCACATGCTGCTCCAGACAGGCCCCTGGCCCCCTCATCATCCTGCTTGTGGTGATGCCCCTTAGCAGAGGTTCTCCCGGATACTAGCCATTTCAGCTCCAGAAGGTGTTCAGAGTCCCACCCCAGAAGCACTATGGGAGCTGTGTGTGTGTGTGTCTGGTGGTGTTTCCGCATGTGCATATGTGTGGGTCTGCGTGTGCTCTGGCTTCCCTCAGTCACATGTGTGGGGCATGTGCTGTCTCTGCTGGGCTGGGGGAGGAGGAGGAGCCGGGAGACAGCAGAGCACAAAGGAGAGACTCAGACAGGCAGGCAGCAGGCAGGCGGCCTGCCAGGGCGCCTTGGCCTCCACCCCAGGGCTGCTCAAGGGGGCGGTGGTCTTTGGGCCTGTAAGTGCTATATGCTACCATGTATGAAGACCCTGTGTTCAAGCATGTGCTCCCACCCAACCATGCAAGCCTGGTCCCCTCCCGCCCCAACTTCTACCATTCCCCACACCCAGCCACTCTCAAGCCCCTCCCCATGTGTTTCTCCTTGAAGTTTAACCTCCATCCATTCTCTGTGGCATCAATCCATCAGACTTCTTCACATTTCAAGGAAAAGACTCTCCACAGTTAGCCATCTTTTGCCCCATCCTCCCCACCTAGGCCACCAGGCACACAAAAGCAACATGCCCTTTGAGACACTGACTGAAGTTGTCCCCACCACATATACACACACACACTCACACACACACCTACCTCTGGGCCTGTGTTTTCTTCCTGTCCCTGTGCTGCTGCCAGAGAAACTGAGGGAGAAACTTTCTCCCTCTTCCCACTGAACGCAGGTACCCTGCCCCAACTTCAGGGCCAACCTACCACCCACCTCCAGCCTGACAACCTCTACCACTATTTGTGGGCACTGAAAATCTAAAATTTAAGACTCATCTCTCTAGCTTGTTCAGAGCTTTAGTTTCTGCTATGCTCATGTGTGGCGATGGAGACCAAGAGTTATGGGCTTAGAACATGGATGGACCTAAACTAGGGTACCCAGCGTGGAGCAGTTATAAAGGAAAAATACACACACAAACATGCACACCAGGCTGGTAGTGGTAGGGATGATGGGGCCAGGCAGGATTCCAACTTGGCAAGCTCATCCTTCTCTTCCTCTCCCCCACCCTCTGAAGCAGGAGCCAAGGGTTCTCACACCAGGATATTCCAGGATCCTCAGGCTCTACTAGCCCTCCCTTGGGCCCCATGCCCCTTAAACATCAGCCTCAGCAGGCACTTTAAGTGTGTGCCCAGCCCAGCCCAGCCCAGCCTGGGTCACATGATTTTCAAGGAAGCTTTGACACTGGCAGCTTCCCTTGGGGATTGGGGGGGGGGGTTCCAGTTGAAGGGTATGGCCCTCCCAAAAAACAAAGCATCTGGATGAGTCAAAGGAGTCAAAATCAGGCTAGATTCAGGGACACCCAATTTCCAGGAGAAAGCTGACTTCAGCCTGGAATAGCACGGGGGTCTTGCAAATAATTCAAGGACCCAGAAGTTCTGGGGATGGGGATAGACAATGTTCTGAGGCCCTCTGAAGACTACCCCTCCAGTTACATTGCCCCTCTGCCATCTTGGCAGTGAGGTAGGGCCAACTCCCACTCCAGGATACAACTCAGACCCAGGCTGTCCCTGGGAGAAGCAGCTATGTGTTTTGGGACGGCAGAGGTCTGAGCCTGGATTCTCTCTCAAGTTCTCATTTTGGGATTAAGGGTTGCTTCCCCAACTCTCCACACATCACTCCGTTTCCCAGCCTGAGCCACCACATTCCCCCTTCCACTAGGGCAGAGATGCCAGACCCAAGGGCCCAATTACCTGGCACCCCCCAGGAGTACCTCCTGTCCTCTGGAGGGCCAACCTTCCCTGGCACCAGGCAGGAAAAGTGGGGGGGGGGTGGATAAAATGGGCCCGAACTAATCCCTCCCCCCAAAACACTGTCCTCATAGAAACAGCATGGGGGGGTCACAGGATATGTAAGAGAGAAAAGCAGTAGGGAATGGGGGGGGACCCAAACCAGCCAATCACAACTCTATGATGACCTAAGGGGGGGGTCAAAAGTCCAGAGTCACTTCTGATTGGCTAACACCCTGGAATTCTGGGAATTTCAACCCCCTGAGCCCCCTCCCCAATTAGCCTCCCCGCTAACACGTACACATAAGCTACCCCAAGCGCCCCCTCCCCATGCTCTGGGCTGTTGCGCATTTACACAGTTGCGGGAAACCCTCTCCCGGACTGAAGCCCTGCATACGCCTTATAGCCCCCGACCTGCCCCAATGCCATCGACGCCCCCCACACCAAGTTCTCGCCAAACAAGGGGTGAGGGTCTGCAGAGAGGATTAGGGAGGGAGGGTCGGGGAGGCCGCGCGCCCCACTCACCAGGACAGGCACAGCCCACTGACATCTTCACATCGCCCGCCGCTGAGGGCCCAGCCGAGTCACGGTGCCCGCCCCGCGTGGGGACAGGCCGGGCATGAGCCGCCGCCGCCGGCCCCAGCTGCCCTCGCTGCCGGCCCGGCCCGATCTCGGTCCGGTGTGTACGGTCCGATGTGGACGGCCCCTGGCTGCAGCGAGGGGCCTGTCAGGCGCGGAGCAGACAGGAAGGAAGCCAGGCAGGAAGGCGAGCTGCCTCTGCGTGTGTGCGCGCGGGTGTGCGTCCCCGGAGTGTGTGTCCGTGTGTGCGCGTGTGCGTGTCTGTGCGCTCCCGCCGCCGCTCGCCCCCGCCCCCCCCCCTCGCTCGCTCTCGCTCTCGCAGGCACCCGCTCTCCAGCCCCAGCCGGGATGGGCCGGGCTTTATTAATATGCTAATTGCCCTGCTAGTGGGAGGGGAGAGCTGTGTCAAAGTGACCCGGGCGAGCGCGCCGCGAGCGACGACGTGCGTGCGCTGCGCGGCGGGCGATGAGGGGCTGGGAGCGTTCTGGCTACTGCATGCATGTGACGCAGCTTTTAAAAAAGGAGACAGAACCAGAGACCTCGGACAGGGAAGGCGAAGGCGAGGTAGACGAGTCGAAGCCTCACGCTCGGTGTGGATTCTCTGGGCGCCGCCGAGCGGGAGCGGAGACGAGCCGGAGCGGCAGCGAGAGCTAGGACTGGGAGAGGCGGAGCCACAGTGGGCTCTGAGGTGTAGCTCTGTCAACACCCCCGGCCGCGCACCAGGAGAGGAAAGGGACTGCCGACCCCCCGCCCTTGCTGAGACCCCGATCTTATTCAGGAGCCTCTGGTTACACGCCGCTACCCGAATCTGAGTGGAGAAGGAAGCTCTATTTAATTCTTGTAGCAGTCCCTCAACTCACCTACTCCCTAAATTAACCGCTCCTCCCTTGCCTGTTAAACCAGTTGGGACTAGAGCTAAAAGGGTTAATTAAGTGGAGTCCCCGCCCTCCCCCTCAAAAGGGCTGGGATATGGGATCCGTTTTTGGCTGGGGGGATGGGGGCTGCAGATTGACCGCCAGATTGGCCTGGGCAGGGGATCCGCAGGCCATCCTTCCTCCTTGGAGGCTCTGACTCATCAGTCAAGACATTCTTCTCCCTTCCCCCCTTTCCCCTTCTAGCCTCGCCACCCTCCTCCCCGACTGGAAGCCGCTCTCCTGTAAGGGCCTTGGAGACTCAGGAGAACCGGAAGCAGATCCCTCCACAGTCCCATACTCATAGGGGCAGAGGCCACGGTGGGACGCAGTGAGGGGGTGATCTGGATGGTCAATAGGAGAAACACTCCTTCACTTGGGAGGAGCCTTCCAACCTTCAGGCATTCCTCAAGGACTCCCCAACTCAGCCCTAGCTGGGGGGAGGTAGGTTGGGAGGGTGGTCTCCTCCATCCCTTCCCAAAAGCCAGCCTTAGCTGCCTCGTAAACAGGAAATACCTATTAGCTGGGAGGAGGGAGGGGAGGGGAGCTGCCGGGAGGAAGGAGTTGGCGCCCTCCCTCCTGGGGGGTCTCCAGCTGCTAGCTTCTCTTCCTTAAGCTTGAGGGCAGGCTCCCATAGTAGATGCTGGGAACCTGGGCTAGTGTTCTTATCCCTAGGGCATCTGGCCCAGACTGGGTAGGGGGTCTTCCCCTTTGTTACTTAGGGATTGGTTGAGAAGGCTGTTTGGCTCCCTCACTCCTGCCCAGAGTCTGCACAGCTGTCTTAGCTGGCTAGGGGAGACTTAAGTGTTTCTGAGACCCCTTCTCTCCACCTTAGTTTTTTGCTGAGGGAGCACAGAATGATGGGAGGATAGAGTCTGGAAGTTGAAAAGATGGTCTGCCTGGGGGACCCTTCCCATGTGCTTAGGAGAGGGTGGGGGAGGGGAACCATGAGCACAGCTACACACCAACTCCAGATCTTCTCATCCCTACTCCCAGCTCTTCCTATCCCCACCCCCATCGAGGCCAGATAGGGATGTGATTGAAGTGATCTATACACAGACAAGTATTCCTCTGGCAGCATCCCCTGCCTCAGTCCACTTCCTCCCCGCATTTCCTCAGGCAGAGAGGTCAGCACTGGAAGGGGGAGTAGGGGGAACCTAAAGCAACAGAACACTAGCCTGGAATTTTGGAGACCTTGGTTTGAATTCCAGCTTTGTTCTTCACTAGTTGAAGATTGGTACCTACAGCTCATAGAGAATCAAGGTAGGCAATGTATACCCAGTCACCTAGCCCAGTGCCAGTTTAGTCAGTGCTCAATATACATTAGCTCCTTTCTGCTTTCTTTGAGGTTATCTGTTATTCCAAGTGTGTCAGGAGGGGACTGGATTGGCTAGATGATTGGAGAGGATTTGGGAGAGGGGGAGTTTCTTCCTTGACCCTCTTCACCCTCTACTGTTCATGAATTTGCCTTCCCCTAATCCTGTGACCACTTATCCTAAAGCCACTCATTCCAAACAACTCGCTTGGCCAGATTCCATTGGTAATCACTGATTACCTGGGAGGACAAGAGGGATTATAACCCACCCTATAGGGGTCTCTGCCTCTTCTGAATCTAAGGTTCCCTTCTCTAGATTACACACATGGAAGATGGAAGGAAGGGGAGGAAGAAAAAACGGCATGTGTTGAGCATGCACTATGTGCCAGACATTGTGCTAGGCGTTTCACACCTGAGATCTCATTTATTTCTCTGGAAAGGACCTTTGGAGGAAGGTGCTATTACCTCTACTGAAAAGGCAAGAAAACTGAGGCACAGAGAGGCTAATAAATTTGAACTTGTCTGTAATAGTCTTCTCTCTCTTCTTTGCCTAAAAACCAAACCAAACCCACCGCCTTCAAGTCAATTCTGACCCATAGCAACCTTATAGGACAGAGTAGAATGGCTCCATAGGGTTTCCAAGGCTGTAAATCTTTATGGAAACAGACTGCCACATCTTTCTCCAGTGGAGCAGCTGGTGGGTTTGAACCGCCGACCTTTTGGTTAGCAGCCAAGTGCTTAAACACTGCACCACCAGCGCACCTCACCTTCTTTGCCTATTAACTAGTTAATGCCTCTTTAAAACTTCAGTTCTATTGCATATGGAGAGAAAGTCAAGGTACTATCAAGAAATAAATTACTGCTTTAAACTTAGGAAGATAAAGGTAAATTTCTGGGTAGCCACAAAGAAAGTCAACAAACCCACTCATTGAAATATGAAACGAAAATCATAAAACATTCAACACAAAACCAAAAATGACAAAAGAAAAGACAAGCTACGATAAAAAAAAAAAAAAACACAAAAAACTCAGTACGGAAAATTAAACAGAATGAAGAAACTGTCAACACTACAAAAAGATTATCAGAAAATGACAGCAATAAACTCATACCTATCGATAATCACACTGTAAATGGCCTAAATGCACCACTAAAGAGACCGAGGGGGCAGAATGGATAAAAAAACATGACTCATCTATATGCTGTCTGCAAGAGAGTCACCTTAGACACAAGGATATAAATAAAGGATGGAAAAAGCTATATCAAGAAAACAATAACCAGAAACAGCAGGAGTGGCACTACTAATCCCTGATAAAATAGATTTTAAAGCAAAATGCACTATAAAAGACAAGGGAGGACATTATATAATGGTTAAAGGGTCAATCCACCAAGAAGGCATAACCATAATAAATATATAGGCACCCAACAACAGAGGTCCAAAACACATAAACTCTAACAGCACTGAAAAGCTAGACACTTCCACAATAATACTAAGAGATTTTAACACACTACTCTCAGTGAAGGACAGAACAAACAGAAACTCAACAAAGGCACAGAAGATCTAAATACCACAGTCAACCAACTTGACCTTATATATCACCCAATAGCATCAAAGTACACATTCTTCTTCAATGTTCATGGATCATTCTCCATAACAGACTACATTTTAGCCACAAAGCAAGCCTCAACAAATTCAAAAACATCAAAATAATACAAAGCATCTTCTCTGATCACAATGCTATAAAAGTAGAAATCAATAACAGGAAGAGCAAAGAAAAGAAATCTAATAAATGGAAACTAAATAACACCCTGTTTAAAAACTAATGGGTAATAGAAAAAATCAAAGATGAAATTTAAAAAATTCCTGGAATCAAATGAGAACAAAAACACAACATACCAAAACCTGTGGGACACAGCAAAAGCAGTGCTCAAAGGTCAATTTATAGCAATAAACGCACACATCAAAAAAAGAAGAAAGATCCTGAGGTTCACCCTTCAGCCAAAGATTAGACAGGCCCATAAAACAAAACGAGGCTAAAGGGGTGCACCGGCCCAGGGACAAGGACTAGAAGGCAGGAGGGGACAGGAAAGCTGGTAATAGGGAACCCAAGTTCGAGAAGGGAGACTGTTGACTTGTGGTGGGGTTGTTAACCAATGTCATAAAACAATATGTGTACTAACTGTTTAATGAGAAACTAGTTTGTTCTGTAAACCTTCGTCTAAAGTACAATACAAAAAAAAAAGACAAAAATCAAAACATCAACTCTACAACTTGAACAATTAGAAAGAGAGCAGCAAAAGAAGCCCACAGTCACCAGAAGAAACAAAATAATAAAAATTAGAGCAGAAATAAATGAAATAGAGAGCAGAAAAACAATAGAAAGAATCAACAAGGCTAAAAGCTGGTTTTTTGAAAGGATTAATAAAATTGAGAAACCACTGGCCAGATTGACCAAAAAAAAAGGAGAAACTGCAAATAACCCAAATAAGAAATGAGATGGATGATATTACAAAAGAACCAACTGAAACAAAAAGGATCATAACAGAATACTATGAAAAATTATACTCCAACAAATTTGAAAACCTAGAGGAAATGGACAAATTTCTAGAAACACATCACCTACCTAAACTAACACAAACTGAGGTAGAAAGTTTGAATAGATCTGTAACAAAAGAAGAAATTGAAGGGGTCACAAAAAAAACTCTCCCCCCGCCAAAAAAAAAGCCCTGGTCCAGATAGCTTCACAGGAGAATTCTACCAAACATTCAGAGGAGAGTTAACACCAATTCCAATCAAAGTATTCCAGAACATAGAAAAGGAAGGAATACTCCCGAATTCATTCTACGAACCCAGCACAAGCCTAATACCAAAGCCAGGAAAGAACACCACTAAAAGAGAAAACTACAGACCAATATCCCTCATGAATATAGATGCAGAAATTCTCAACAAAATCCTAGCCAAAAGAATACAACAGCATATGAAGAAAATAATACATCATGACC